CTCAAAAAAAACAAAACAAACAAACCCATCTATTAACCTGTTAGGTTCTAGAAGCACCAAGAATAGCAAAGTTAAGGCATGTTAGTCAACATAGGTTAACTAAGGACCCAGCCTAAATGTAATTAGTACCGTTCCATGGGCTCAGGACTTGAACTGAAAAAGAGAAAGATGAGCAGCGGCATTCCTCTGTCTCTGCTTGCTTTTTGTAGATACAGTATGACCAACTGCCTTCCCCTCATCTAGACTGGATTCTCCAAAACTGTGAGCCAAAATAAACTCTTCTTATGTTGCTTCTACCTGATATTTCATTACAACAAAAATAACTAATACACAACTTGAATCAGGGAAGCAGAACAAAAAATCAGATTCCAGCCAAGTGGGGTTTTTTGTTTGTTTGATTGGTTGATTGGTTGGTTTTTTTGAGGTAGAATTTTGCTATGTAGCACAGGTTGGCCTCTGAGGAAGCTGTGGCTTGTTCTGTCTCTCTAATCTTCCAGCATCACCCCAATAACTGGCCTCAGGTTTGATTTTATTAATAAGACCATTTAAGATTCCTGCTACATCTGGCACCCAACGTTTGTGGTACGAATTCTCAGGCCCGAGCTACACTTGACCTGTTGTGGTGGCGCATGCCATTGGATTTACTGAAGGAGGCAGAGGCAGGAGGATCCCGAGTTTGAGGCCGGCCTAGGAGACTTGGGAGAAGCTTCAGCCCAGGCCGAGCCACAAACAGTGGTAGGGACCATGGAGGCAGCTGCTGCTGCTCCTAGTTGCTGGCTCCTTCTCATCCTGTTGGTCACTGCGGTGATGCTGCTACCTGGGACGAAGGGTTTACTGCTGCTTGTTCAGAGAAGAATTGCCAGGACCATCGTGTTACAAGAAAGCATCGGCAAAGGTCAGTTTGGAAAACTTTGGCAAGACAAGTGGTAGGGAGAAATTGCTGTCAAGATTTTCTCTTCTAGGGAAGAACATTCATGGTTCTGAGAGACAGACATTTATCAGACTGTGATTGCTCCAAACCACAGAGGAGGCACAAAAAAAAAAAAATCTGCAGGGAACCATGACCACACCTAACAGCAACTTTGAAATTTTCAAAAAGATGACAGGATCCGCAATGACGAATCCACATGGACTATGGTAAAGCCATTAAGCTGAAAGATCGGACTTTGGACTACAAACCACTCAGGACAATTTTGAGATAGCCAGCTGAGATGATCCAGCCTGACAGACTACTTGAACAAGGACTTGAAATAAGCCCTGCACTTTCTCATTATACAGCAACTGGACAAATGATACATACAGGACTTGACAATTAACCCAAAAAAATTTCTTTTCAGGATTCCCTAAAGATGTCTTCACCCCCTAAAGCAGGAAGTAATTTTTAAGAAAACTACACCCATATTCCCAAGAGGTGGGGTGGATGGTTTTTTGATCATTTAATGAGTTATGGATATTGTCTGTTTATGATAGTTGGTTACAAGTTGTTAATGGTCAGGAAAAAAGCTGAACAAGGAGATTAGATTCAGAGGTTTTGTTTAAGAAAAAAGAGAATATAGATATGAGGTAGATCATCGAAATCTACTCTGAGAAAAAAAGATAAAGAAATAATAGGATAAATGGGTAGACCATTGAATCTACACTAAAAAGAAAAAAGGGGAAGATATAAAAGTGACAAAGGTAGATTACTGACTCTATTATGAAAAGAAAAAATACTTTTAAAAAGGAACTACTTGTTTTAAATAGGATAAGTAATGAAAATTTTTTTGTCTGAGTTTATCAAATGTTACTGGACTGTTAATATATATAATGGAGTTTTTATCTGAATCTGTCAAATGTTAATGGACTAGGCATTATTAATGTAATTTTGACTGTGTATATTGTATATATTTATTGGATATAATTTTTCTTGTATTAGTTATAAGCCTTTTTTAATTTTAGACAAAAAAGGGGAAATGTAGTGGTATTGTGTTCCTTGAAATATTGTGCACCCTAATAAACTTGTCTGGGGTCAGAGACAGGACAGCCACAATATTAAACATAGAGGATAGGCAGTGGTAGCACACGCCTTTAATCCTAACATTCCAGAGGCAGAAATCCATGTGTTCAAGGATACAGCCAATCATGGTGACTCACACCTTTAATCCCAGAAAGCGAGCCTTTAATCTCAGGGAGTGATGGCAGAAAGCAGAAAGGTATATAAGGCGTGAGGACCAGAAACTAGAAGCTTTTTAGCTGGTTAAGCTTCGGACTTTTGAGCAGCAGTTCAGCTGAGAGCCATTGGGATGAGGACACAGAAGCTTCCAGTCTGAGGAAACAAGATCAGCTGAGGAACTGTCAAGGTGAGGAAGCTATGGCTTGTTCTGCTTCTCTGATCTTCCAGTATTCACCCCAATAACTGGCCTCAGGTTTGATTTTATTAATAAGACCATTTAAGATTCTTGCTACAGGCCTCAAACATGCAGCAATCCTCATGCCTCTCTGCCTCCAGAGTGCTGGGATTACAGGTGTACATCACCATGTCATGTCCAGCTTCTTGCCAAGTTCTTAAACTTCAGCAAAGGTTTTTAATCGTTAGCAAAAACAAAAAACAAAAGTTAACCACCTCCCACCCCCCAAAACACACAAAGCACAACTTTTCTCTGTCCTGTCCATCCTCCAGAAATGAAAAAGGTAAATAGGTAAGCAATACCACCTAGAGAAAAAAACACTTTTTAAGTTTTTCTCAGAATCTGGAGAATACAAAAATAAAGCATCCTCTGTATCACTGGAAGAATAATGACTTAAATAAGCAGAGTGACAGGCAGGGAATAGAGATCTCATGAGAGAGGAGACTTCACTGCTCTTAAGAAGATCATGTCAGCCCAGTGGTTTAGCTCCATGATGCAGTACTTGCCTTGCCTAGCTGTGCAAGCTCATGGGCTTCATCCTTCGCATCAGGGAGAAGAAAAGGTGAGTGACAGAAAATCCTTTTCCCTTGTGAACAAGCTCTTATGAAAGGTGAAACAGCTCTATTTCCACTAAACACAAAAATAAAACTGTCTCCTTTACTGAATTCTTTCTCCTACCTGCAATGCATTAGACCCCATGGGTTTTCTTTGGGAATTTTGAATACTACAGGAAAAGACTGTAATCACGCTCCTTGGGAGTTAGAAAAGTAATTAAATCCTTGATATATACTACTTGTAGGGTTTTTTTGATTTCTGAGACAGGGTCATTTTGTAGCCCAGGCTGGCCTCAGGCTTCCTGAGTACTGGGACTACAGGACTGTGCCACATTTCTAGTTTTTGACTTTCAAGTTATTATGTAAAGCAATTTTCTATTATAATCGCCCTATCCTCTTGTACTATTTATTATATCATATTAATTATCATTCTTTCTCTAACATTATCTATACACAGCTTCTTCACTAGCCTCTCCTTTTTTGTATGCTTGTTCAATGAAGATTAAATTAATGGCAACATCAAATAATTCATCAAAGACTAGCCAAGCTGAACTCCAAACCTGAGTTCATAGGAGAGAGGCAGAAAAGCAATGCTACCAAGTCTTGATACTCATGAACATTTTTGTTTTTAAAGAAAATACATCCAGCCTACTGCCTGTCCCTGCCTTGTGCTTTTCTGTGTAAATTAAGTAAGTCATTTTCCTCTGTGACAA